GACAACCATATATGCTGATCTCTCATGCGACATGTGTCTAAATTATTGTCAAAACAAGCGAGTGTACGGCTTCCTAATCATTACTAATATCTTAGCGAACGATTAAGTGTGTGCGAACAGGGGCGTAGGCAGGGGGTGGCCAATCCTGGCCATGGCCCAGCCCAAATTTTAAAAATGTCTAAATTTTTAGGGTAAAAAATTCCGGGTAAAATTTTTTCCAAAAATATTCTTTGTATCGGCCAAGTGTCCTGGCTCCGCCCTTGTGTGCGAAAGTATCCTAGAATAAATTATGTCTCTCTTAATAAATTCTATGTGCAATTATAATCCTAGCGGTTGTTCCATGTTACAAAAGATATCAATTAAATTATTCAAACACAAATTAAATAAAGATCATTCAATTAAACCATCAAGAAATTAACACTAGATCATGAATAACCCTTTCATCAATCCCAAATCTCTAATTGAAACTACTCACAATTCGTAATTGAATTAACAATAGAATTGAGAAGGAAAGAATTAATTGTCATTAATTAAAAAGAATCCCAAAATCTTGACAATTAAGGCTTGAAAAGCTCTAAAAATCGTTCTAGGGTTTATCTCTCTAGCCTCATAGTAAAAAACAAACAAAAACGGGTTGAAGTTATAAAAATCAGAAAAAAAGTGGGCGAAATTCGGTCTGTGGGGTCGTCTGCGCGGTTGTTCGCACGCCGTGCGGACGACGGCGCGGAAGATTCCGTCAAAATTATATGTCGGTCCGCACGGCTTGCGAACACCCGCACAGTTCGACCGTGCAGACACTCCTGCATGGGTTTTGAGCTCTATTTGCTTGCGTTTTAGTAACTAGAAAAATCAGCATTTGTGCAATGTATCTTGACAACTTTTTAACAAGGTACATAGCTATTCCCCATGCATAGGACGGATTTATTAACTAGATACATCGCCCTCTTCATAAATTGGATCATGTCTCTTATATATTGGGCCCCTATTTAATATTAAGCACAAATAGAGGATTTAACAGGGCTAGCCCATTGCTTTAAAAGATAATTTTATAATTAAATTAATTAGACATTTTGGATGATCCAAATTAGTTTAATGACTGATGGATAGTCTACCCGGGGGGTATCTTATCCGAGGGGTTATTGCGGGAATAACTAGAGAGAAGTCAGAGCAAAATGGGAGGAGAGAGAGTCGATTGTATTAAATGAACTCAGCGTGGTTTACAAGGAGAAATGGGCTGCTATTTATAGCAGCAATAAATGCGATGAGAGTACACATGTCAGTAATCCAACGGCCGAGGGGTCACATCAATCGGGGTGGCACCGGCAGTGGCATGTTCACCGCATTGAATGCAGTGGGTGGATGTGACGTCGCATTAAATGCGGTGGTTGGCTGTCTCCAAAGGGAATCTTCGATGATTGAGTCTGTTCAGCCGAGGGCTCTTCATGCAGCCGAGGGCTCTGTGTAGCCGAAGGCATGGTTCAGCCGAAGGCTTCCCTGATGCCGAGGGCTCAACAGTGTCGAAGGCTCCTGTTTTCTGCCGTTTCCTCCTAGTAGCATCGTATGTTCGAATCCTGGTGCCCTGTGTATTTTGGAGCCTTCGGCCAAGGAGGCCGAAGGCACCCCAGTGTGTATTTCGGGCTTCTTTGAGACTTGGGCCGTTGTATTTGGGCTTCGAATGTTCCTTGGGCTCAATGGGCCTGTGTAGGAGAAGTAGAAGTCTATGGGCCGGGGGTTCCTGGGCCATATACTCCATCAATGACCAAGTTTTATTCCAAGACCCGTGTCACCATTTTCTCTAGATAAGGCCCAACAACCATTATGAGTAGCCCAATGTACTTGAGATCGGTCGAATAGAATTTAAAAGAGGTCCAATAAGATGTAAAATAGCCCAGTAGCATTTAAAAGAGGCCCAATGACCATTGTAACTGGATCAATTATTTTTAATTGCCCACAATAATATTTCAAAAAAAAAATTGACCGGGGGCTAAGGTTGGACCCAGCTCACGGTCCTCCACAAGTCATCATCAGAACTAACCAATTCTTGGTACTAGACTGGGACTGGGAAAAGCAGTTCTGGGTCAAGACCAGGACTGGAATTAGGGGTGGACTCGGGCCGGGCCACCCGGCCCGGTGGGATGGCGGTCCGGGCTCGGGACCTGATTTTGGTGAACCGGCCCGGCCGGTTCGGGCCCGGTCCGGGCCGGATTTTAAATTTTTTTTTTTTTTTTTTTTTTGAAATTTTTTAAGTTTTGGGTTGGATTAGGTATTTTGGGCCATTTGAGGTGGTTTGGGGTGGTTTGGGGTTGAGGGGGAGGGGTAGGGGGTTAAAAAGGAGAACCAAAAAAAAAAAAAAAGTAGACCGGTTGGCCCGGCCCGGCCCGGTTTGGCCCGGCCCGGCCCGGTTTGGCCCGGAACCGGAACCGGAACCGCCCACCGGCGGTTCGGGCCCGGGCCCTAGTTTTCTGGCCCGAGGCCCGGCCGGGCCCGAACCGGCCCGAGTCCACCCATAACTGGAATTGGTTGAGGGCCAAAACCATACCGGATCTCCCCATACTTAAATTCTAAACTAGTGCCATCCTCGTTCTGCGGATTAGGCTTGGATTATTGAGTGGAAATAAACTAATTATCCTCCCATAATATTTGAATTAGTATTTTTTAAGTATATTTTTTCTATCCCGTTCAAAGGTTCTCTTCGCAAAATGGCATGATTACGCAGACAATAATTAAATATGTTAATTCAAGTATATTTTGAAAAATAGTTTTGATGAGTATATAATATACTCCGTAATTAGTTATTAATGATCGGTGTGATGTTAATGTAATATTTTTAATATTTCATGATTAAAGTGTTATTTAAGAGTGTTAATTGTTTCCTAAAAAAGAAAATGAGAACTTTTAATTGCGACGTCCAAACAAGGAAAGTGAGAACATTTGAATGGGAGGGAGGAGTACTTCTCTCTCGCAATTAAAATTCTAGCTTGAATTCACAAACTTGTAGGCAAATTAAAAATTTTGATTAACTTTCCAAGTATGTTTATCCTAAAATTAATTATGGACTAGTCCCGGACCGGCCGGTGTCAAAGGTTAGCTACCATAGAACCGAGATCGGCGTCAGGTGTACCAATTCCGGACCAATTCCAGTCCGATCCCTGGCCGGTCTCGATGTTTTTTTAATGTTTAAAACTCTCCCAACCCCTCTCCTTACCAACTTTTTAGCTTTTACATGGATTTATACCTCTTTTAAAATGGAAGCCTTTGAAATGCAAAAAACATCAAAAAGAGCAAAGGAGTACTGGATCGGCTAATTCTGATCCCTAAAATCACTAACCGGGATCAGCGTTGTTCTCTAACTCGAACCAGAAATATGGGTCTGGTTCAGGATCATGGATTGGGCCCAAGCCTACACAAAAGTACTTCCTACCCACTTAAAATTTTGCCAAGTTTGACCGGCACAGGAAATAATAAGGTAAGGACTTGAAAAAATAATCAAATAGGTCCATATGTTATCACAAAAATGCCGATCAATTACATTCCTCGTGCTTTAAAAGTACTTGATTGAATCATTGAACTTTGAAAATGTGTTCAATTGAGCTTCTAATGTGGCGCACTTGTGGCGGCCTACGTGTGTGCCATGTCAATAGTCAAATGATGTATGGGCTCCCATGTGGGAGTCACGCCAACAAATAACTACCTATATGGCCGTCATGTGTGCGCCATATCAGCAGGGAAACTGTTGACTTCGCGAGGGTAACTTGCTAATTAACTCCATTGAATGTTTTCCCAAAGTTGGGAGATTTGATTGAGTGTTTTTAAAGTGCGTGATGTACTTGATGTTTTCATGATAGTACGGGGTCTATTTGATAGTTTCCCTAAAAAGTTTTTTGTTGAGATTTGAACAGAAGAGAAAGAAAAATAGAAATCATAGATTAATTGATTAAATGAAAAGTGACGAAAAAATGAAATAGAGAATTAATAATTAATATACTTCTTACTTGACAATAAAAGTGTAATTTACTCCTGAAATGTAAATAATGAGAAAAGTAGGACTAAGTGAGTGTTTGTGAAAAAATGATATTTTAAATTGATTTTGGGAAAAAGTGTTTCTCAAATAATAAAAATTGACAGTGTTTGATAAAATAAGGGTTTTTGTGTAATAGAATAAATGAAAAACAGTTTAAATTACAACTCTGCCTGCTCTTGGCTTTTAGCTTTTAAGTGTGTAGTTTAAATAAAAGTTATCACTAACATGCAACAGACAATTTTAAACCTAAAATGACCGGAACTGAAATACTGTCTATCAAAAGTACTCCAAAAATACAAAGATCCAAACTAAATCTACTCAAACTAAAATAAAAATAAGTACTAATAAAGAAGAAATAATATAGGAATAAAGTCTTTCCACAAAAATTCCTCCTGGCACGAAGGTTGTTCTGAAAGAGAACGAGTTGCCTCAATATGAGTGTACACTAGATTCTTCTAGCAGAAGTTATCACTTGAAAACATTCATTTTAATTTTTTAAGTCAAAAGCTTAAAAGCACTTTTTTAAAATTTTTGTAAACTCTTTCTAAATTGTGAAACATGTCGAAAAGGAAAATGAAAACTTAAATGTGAAACAGGGAGTATGTGAAAACTATGTTAGAAGTTCTAATTCAGTACAAAAAAAGTTCCATACTTCCATATCAATAAATCATTTACAATAAAAAATTAATAAGATAACTATCAAAAAGTAAAATATCATTTACAAATAACAATCAGAAAGTGATATAGTAAAATAAACCCAATCTACAATGGCACATTTCATAAAAACCCAATCTTTATAATGGAGTATTTAGAGTTCGTTTAGTAACACTGAAATCAGCTAAATCGACTGATTCTGCTGAAATTTATGAAGTTTTAGCTCAAGTGGCTGTATTGACTAAATTCTGTTAATGTATGATTAAATTATATTCCAAACATATTTTATTAATAAAATAAAGAAAAAATTATATGAAAATTTTTAGAATGGTCTTCCACAGTAATTTCAACCAATGAAAAGTAACTCCAACCTTACTTTATCTTATAATCTTACAATTACACAATTCAATGTGTAAAATCAAAGTTACAGAACGGGCTCTTAGTGAACATTTCATAGAAAACCCATTTAATAACAAACTAGCATCATTGTGAACTCTTCCAAACTCATACAGTAATGGGTTAATGGCGGCTTTTTCATATGCCAAAGCTGAAAATTGTTCTAGCAATCTATATTTGCAGAAATAGTTGAAACATAACGGTTATGGTAAATGTTGAGAAGGGTAGACTCTTTTTTGAAGATGAAACAATCCCTGCTTCAGGCATGGAATTCCCAGTCTTTCTTTTAAGTCGTGGAATAGCTGGGGGTGGAGGCCCATCAACTGGATTGCTAAAAGGTGGAGGCGGTGGAGGCGTAGCGACGCCAAGACCTGGAGGTGAAGGCATCACACCTACACCTCCATTAAGTGGAGCAGGTGGTGGCGGTACAAGTAGTAGCGGCGGAGGCATAACCAGTGTCGGCGGAGGCGTAACCAGTGGCGGTGGTAGAGGTGTAACAACTGTACCACCATTAGGTGGAGAAGGTGGAGGTGTAGTAACTGTACCACCATTAGGTGGAGAAGGCGGTGGTGGTAGAGGTGTAGCAACTGTACCGCCGTTAGGTGGAGAAGGCGGCAGTGGTGGTAGAAGTGGAGCGCTTGTTGAATTGTTGCCATTATTGGTCCTGGTATACATGAGTAATCGAGTATTAGAAACAAAGATATGCATATATGTATATGCTTAGCATAGTGCGATTTTTTGAGAAAAGTTGGTGATTACACATGCTTTATGAAATTGTACCCTTGTGTCCTGATAGCCGTACCAAAGAAAGGAAATAGAAGTTCAACTTCACAAAGCTAGTGAGCACCATGCCAAATCAAATAAAGGTCATACCTGTTGGGGCAAAAGGTGATCTGATACTGATCAGCCTTGCAGGTAAAGGTGCTGGTTCCATCATCAAATGCATAGCTGTACGCACTGGGACAAGCATTTTTGAAGATTTTAGAATAGAAGGACGGTTTACAAGTTGTTGGATTGGCATACTCTCCGCTACAGCAATACTCAGGCATTTGAAAAGCCTCACAGGCGCTCTGGCACCCAATGACAGCCCCATCTCCCCCAACCATTTGAAGCTCTTTAGGACAACCTGCAGCAAGTGTTTTCCATTATCAAAAAACTTTAAGAGGCGTATCCTGCAATTGCGTTCAGAAGCCGTATGCTAGTGGCAATATTACATTAGCTAGATTCTACATCAAGCAATATTATATTGTTATGGACTGGGCTAAATGGGCAAATAATGAAAACAAACAGTGCATGATTTACTTTTTGATGCCTGCAACGAACTTTTACCTTCATTTTATGAACTTTTTCTGTAATGTTTTTACATTCTCTGTGTATATTTTCAGATATAAATAAATTTTTCGTTATTTTAGCCAAATCAGCTATTTCAACAAATTCAGCTACTTCAGCTCAGGCGATGAATAAAACCTTACCCATGTTGAGATTGGAAATGCAACCAGTGCTGTTGCACTGAACCCCTATAGGGGCCATTATCATTGGTAAGTTGTAGCCATCGACCAAGCTGATATCATAGAAATCTTTATCTTCCCAACCTCCGACAGTGATCTCAAAGAGAGAACAGGGAGGTTTGCCCCCCATCCCATTGCATTCAAGCTTTCCACCACAGTCCCCTGTTTCACAAGATCCAGCACCTGATGTGTCAAAAGTACATCCAGTTCTTGCCCAAATGCGGCCCGACCACTTTGGGGTACATGGAATGGAGATACTTTGGCCGGAGTTCAACTGAAATCCAGTTGTAGGTAGTGCAGGAGTTCCTGCACCCGCCAACGTGGCAGGCCATATTGTCTGTGGACAGCTATTGGTTATGATGAAACTGCATTCAAAAGAGTATGAAAACAACGTTGAGAAAAGTAGTGTAATGAGAATTGGTTTATGCGACATTATTATAAGGTATAAGGAACCCTAGCATAATATATTGGGATTTCTTCAGGCCTGTATGACTAATAGATTTCCACCCTATGGTGGAGGAATTGCCAAGTGAATAATTTCTGAACCTCTTATATTGCAACTTCAGGGAAGATTTTATAGCATTCAATTGATGATTATATTCAAAATCCATAATGTTCAGTTGCTTTGAGAAGTTCATCCGCCGTAAGAACACAATTTTGGTTTAGAATTTCTTTTTCCTTCCATCTTGGGTGGCCTCAACAAGAAACAATTCCTTCCTTTCTATTACCTTATCTTCATGGAGTAATGTATCTCAAAGAAAAATATCAGTACTTCGTAGTACTAAATATACCAATTGATCTTCTTAAAAGTAGATTGGTTTTCTATTTCGTTAAATCAGATAATGACAAAACTGAAGAGAATCATCCCACAACTCCGAACTGTTTTTATTATTTTACCAGCTTGCAGCCTAAAAAACTGTATTATTACCAGCTTGCAGCTATCAAATCAAAACTTATGTATTAGGTAAAGAATTTTAAAACCCACATCAAAACAAATTATTCCTTACTTTACCTGCAACTTCATGGATTAATGTATTTAAAAGCAAACTTATACTAGTAAAATTTAATATTTGTGATTACATTAATTGATCACCTTAGTAGATAGCTTTTCTACTTCCTTAAAACAATGAAGCTCTCATAGTAGTCCCAAAAGAAGTTGGGGTCGGCTAACATTAATCGACATATGAACTCCTACAACTCTATATTGCAATTATTTTATATACTGTGTTATACCATTTTGCAGCAATCAAATCAAATTTTATTTATTAGGAAAATATTTTTCAAACCGTAATCACAAGCAATTGGCTTTCAAAGTTAACTTCAAAGAATATTCTGTACCATGTTCTATGCCCATCAAATCTCTGAACTATAGAGAATCTGATAGAGCACAAAAATGTTGCCTTTTATATTTTAACACAAGAAAAGCTGCAGTAAAATAATTAAATGTGCTGAAGTCAGCAAGAATACTTTCAAGCCCTTTGAATGTGTTCAGCAAGACTCCAGGGATAAATTTCCCTACGTCCTGCTTTTCCACAACTTGGAATCTAGAGAAGCAAACTCCATGCTCAGATATCCACGATTATCTGATTTCACAAACGTGCAGCTTCATTGACTATATCACTATCTCTTTCCCAAAATGTCCTATTTGATCAAGTAATTTTTAATGTAATTTTCTAAGAGTCTGATACAAGTTTGCTGGTGATAAATTTAGTTAAACAACCCAGAAAACTTTCGAAGCATAAGTAAAATTAAGGACTTTAGTAGTTGTGCACTTGTGCCTTACCATGCAGTTTGATTTTGCAGAGATTTCAAGTTCATGTCCTATTTGATCAAGTAATTTTTAATGTAATTTTCTAAGAGTCTGATACATGTTTGCTGGTGATAAATTTAGTTAAACAACCCAGAAAACTTTCAAAGCATAAGTAAAATTAAGGACTTTAGTAGTTGTGCACTTGTGCCTTACCATGCAGTTTGATTTTGCAGAGATTTCAAGTTCTGTTCCAAAATTCTGGAATGAGTAATTTATTCGAGCTACTTCCCACAGATACTTGACAGTAGGAACTGGTCAGATGAAATAATCAAATTTAAGATCATTGCGAGCAGAATAAAACATATGGAATTGAATCTGTGGCACCATGATTCTAGGCTATAAGGACCAACTGATAGAAAAAGAAAACCTGAAAATCCCGGTAATCTGTTGGTTGAAGATGGTACTTATGATAGGAAGATTAGGCGATGGTAGAAGGTTTAGGAGCAGAACATGGTGTGCCTTTAATGAACAGGCCTCAACTTCAGTTGGCATGAATATGTTGATAAACACACAGCATGCCACATTTGAGACTTTTGAATTCTGGAAATGCATATTAGAGAAAAAACACCCTGCATGAAAAGAAAAATAAATAATTATAACAATCAGAACCTTATTCTCATATTCATTAATTAAAAAATCTCAGATTCTCATTAAGAAAATACAGAGAATATAAATAAACACATATATTAGGCTATCGATTTTCCAATTGTAGCCCTTCAATTCCTGCAAAAACAACACCATTTAATGCACCATTACATATAACCAGAAATGAGCTCAGCTTATATCCCTAAACCTGAAAAAACAGAAAGTCAAAGAAGTAAACATCAGTTTTAACTTGAATAAACTCAATAATGATATGAGCTAGACTTAAAATTGAGTGTCCATAAAAGAAGGCCACAACAATTTTAACATTTCCAACAACAATCCGGTCATAATAAGGCTTCTAGAAATAATGGTACCCTGTAATATTGTTACATATAAAGAAAATTAGTCAAGTCAAACAACTCCATTGCAGAGCAAGTCGAAAAATAGGACTTGGTGAGATGATGCTAACCAATACAAAATAAGAAAGCACGGTAAAGCTATTACATCAATAGTTGATAACATAATGAACAAAGAACTTCAATAACCTGATAAATCAGATATTGAGCTCTTAAGTTCCACTAGTGGAGCTCAAATGTGATAACAATAACTCCGGCTGCATGATAAAGTTAACTACCTAGTAAGTTATGGAAGGTACTTCAGTTCAATATAAGAGTCTCCTACAGACTTGGCATGATAAATCCAGTCTGCCACATAAGATGGCTTTATCAAAGTGTTTTTCGCATTATTGTCTCATGAGAGCAGTAAAACACTAAAAAACGGAAGTAGAATAAGCAGATGAAATCTAGCTCATGTCCATTCCATCTCCAACTTGGCTACAAATGGGAGTAACAGCGGAGAAAGATCTCTCAAACGGCGATGGATGGAATGTCGCATCCCGCCTACGCTTGAAAGCACAGCTGTCGGATGGTGAACTTTCAGCATCAAGCTTCCTCCGTATTCCTTTCACAGCCGTCTCTTCAGCTGGTGTTAGTGGAAAAATCTGCTTGCTCACTCTGCAAAGGGAGCTATGGTTGTCATACAAGATTCTCTGGTTACAGTTTTTGTCACAAATGTGAGTCAGCCCAGTTAGTCTGCATCTGTAAATGTTCCCACACACGTGTTCATTTTCACATTTCCAATCACATTTGTGAACCGGGTTCGGCCCATCATCTTGGCCCAGAATGCTTGACAGATAAATAACAGTTGTAGGAACAGCTACCATAGATTTTCCAAATACCTCCATTGTTTCAGTGAACATTCAAAGCCTGAATTCTTGGACCAATCCTGCACACTGGTTTCTCTTTCCTCAAATACTTCTGTAGACCCACACAATACAAGAAACCATCAACATTTGCTGGAAAGGACTAGTGCTCTATAATCATTACATATATTCTAACAGTTTCCTAGATTTATCACATCTGATTATCTGAAGACTAATTCATCACATCTGAAGCAAGAAGTACTGCTTAATAGAGAATACAGATATCAGAGCGCACATAGAAGGAGCAAACTATTGAAATATGTTAGCTACCCGTGACAATTAGCATCCATTGAGCACCCAGTGAATAGAATAACAGAAAGATCCACACTGTACTTCTTAATCACAATTTCCCTAAATAGAGAATGCAGATAGAATGACAAAGAGATCCAGCCACCACATCAAAGATATCAACTTTGTATCAATTACCAATCATATACAATCAAAACAACAAGAATTGAACCAATGTGCTCAAACATATTCCCCAAAATCATTTCTTCAATTGACTAATTTGGTTTTCTGTGAAACTATACCTAACATTGACTTCCCACACGAATTCAACTTACAATATAGCTAATGCATCATAGTTTTTTTCGCTGAACAAATATTTAAGCACAAAGAAAGGAATAAAAACAAATCTCAAATTCGCAATAATCATACACCAATAATCAGCGACTGCATATAATACACACGAATGAGATAAACAGTGATAAAAAAAAAATCTTTGAGGAAAGAAAAGCGAGAAGGAAGGTATAAGGGAACCATAAAGAAGAGACGACCAACCTGCCTAGCTCGAATCTTCAAGCTCTACCTATCTGGCCTCCTACCTCTAGCCTCTTCTCTCTATCCCTCTCTATCTCTCCTAGTGAGAAGCTATAAACGGGAAGAGGGGGACAAGGAGAGTGCAGTATTTATAGGGGGGAGAGTGAGAACTAAAGATAAGGGCGCGATCCGGTTCTCGTGTACCAAGCCGTTGGGGGGTTGGAATGTAAATGCATACGGAATGAAAGTGAAATTCCGCTGAAATGCGTGGCCATTTTTGTCTTGTGCGACTCCTCCCGGTCTTCTCTCGCTACAAAAGTCGTCTCCGCCATCGTCTACGATCGCGCGAAGAAGACGGAAATGCTCTTTCTTATCACGTGCCCCCCCTCCTCAATTTTTGTGTGTGATGAAAAAGTATACTTTGTTGTGAAATGAAGAAGATGAAGAACAGATTTAAGAGATAGATATATTGATAACAAGCTCTAAATAACTTCTTCTTAATATCTGAGAATTTCTGAGTTTCTGAATTGCTTGAATTACATTTACAAAGGATTCATCACCCTATTTATACTAGTAGACTAAGAGATGAATCATCAAAGAATGATTCTACATAATCTGTTGGCAACACTAAACCTAGCCATCTGTCTATTACAAGGATTGAACTTGGATTAGTGTCCTGATGACAAGGATGGACATTCACACATGTCATTTTGATGATTTTACAACACTCCCCCTTGAATGTTCATCCTGGAATAGGTATTTGGTATTTTAAAAACTTATTGTGAAAATCAGTGTGAAAATTAAGGGGTAAAGATTACGGCATATAATGTCGTTGTATTTGGATATACTGTCTCGTTAAAAACCTTATCAGGAAAAACCCAGTGGGATAAAAACCTGATGAAGGGAAAAAGAGTGCAGTGCATTCAAATACTCCCCCTGGAATTAACATAAATTTTGAAGGCGGCGCATGCCGATTTTCTGTACAAGTTCAACGAACTTCTTCGGGGGTAAAGATTTGGTGAAGAGATCAGCTGGATTTTCACTGGATCTGATTTGCTGAACGTTGATCGTCCCTTCTTTATCAAGGTCGTGAGTAGAGAAAAATTTTGGAGATATATGCTTCGTTCTATCTCCTTTGATGTAGCCTTCTTTAATTTGAGCTATGCACGCAGTGTTGTCTTCGTAGATCACAGTAGGGTAAACAGTAATAGGCTTCATACCGCATTCATTCTGGATGTGTTGAATCATAGATCGCAGCCATACACATTCTCTTCCGGTTTCATATAGTGCAATTAACTCCGAATGATTTGATGATGTAGCTGTCAACGTCTGTTTCATAGATCTCCACGAGATTGCGGTATTACCATAAGTAAATACGTACCCGGTTTGTGATTTTGCCTTTTGAGGATCTGATAAATATCCAGCGTCTGCATATCCGATTAAAGAAGCTTTGGCATCTTTGTGGTAGAATAGGCCGAGATCAACTGTACCACGGAGATAACGGAATATGTGCTTGATCCCGTTCCAATGACGTCTTGTTGGACATGAGCTGTACCTAGCTAATAAATTTACAGAAAATGCAATATCTGGTCTAGTATTATTAGCTAAATACATTAAAGCTCCAATAGCACTCAGATATGGTACTTCGGGACCGAGTATATCTTCGTCGTCATCTCGGGGACGGAATGGATCATCGTGTATGTTGAGAGATCGAATAACCATTGGTGAAGTCAAAGGATGAGCTTTGTCCATATAGAATCTCTTCAACACTTTCTCAGTGTAATTGGATTGGTGGATGAAAATTCCATTTTTCAAATGCTCAATTTGAAGTCCGAGACAAAATTTGGTTCTCCCGAGATCTTTCATTTCAAATTCTTTCATAAGATATTTTGCAGTATTTTCAATTTCGTCGGGAGTTCCAATAATGTTTAAGTCATCAACATATACTGCAATTATGGCGAATCCAGAATTTGATCGCCGAATGAAAACACATGGACTAATTGGATCATTCTTATATCCTTCTTTGAAAAGGTATTCACTGAGACGATTATACCACATTCGTCCAGATTGTTTTAGTCCATACAATGACTTTTGTAATTTAATGGAAAACATGTCTCGAGGTTTCGAGCTATAAGCTTCAGGCATTTTAAATCCACCGGGAACTTTCATGTAAATGTCTATATCAAGTGAACCATATAGATAGGCGGTCACTACATCCATTAGGCGCATTTGCAGCCTTTCAAAAACAGACATGCCAATGAGAAACCTTAATGTAGTTGCATCAACTACTGGAGAATAGGTTTCTTCATAATCGATTCCCGGCATTTGAGAAAAACCTTGGGCAACAAGTCGGGCTTTATATCTAACAATTTCATTTCTCTCATTGCGTTTACGCACAAATACCCATTTAAAACCCACAGGTTTTACGCCTTTTGGCGTAGGGACTATCGGTCCAAAAACATCACGTTTTTCAAGTGATTTTAATTCAGCCTGAATAGCTTCATTCCATTTTGGCCAATCGTGTCGTTTCCGACATTCTTCAATTGATGTTGGCTCATTGTCATTGCTTTCATTCATAACATTTGTGGCAACGGCATAGACAAATATCTCATTAATACCAAAATCTTTTCGATTCCATTGCATTCCAGTAGAAACGTAATTTATTGAAATTTCATAATTATCAACGTTTCTATCAGTATCTGGAATATCTTCCTCATTTAAGGAAGTTGAATCATTATTTGAGATGTTTGTTTTGTCAATATCATTTTCTATGCCAGTATTTACAAATTGTTCATTTTCTTGTTCAGAAGGATGAACATCTTTGGCATCACAGATCAATTCCTGCCTTTTAGTTCTTCTTGGTTTTATGTCTTTTGATCCAAGGGGCCTGCCACGCCTTTTGCGTATAGAAGAATCATTTGCAAGAGATTTTTCAAAATTCTCTGCTGGAATTTCGATTCTGGCAGGGGCATTCATAGCAGGAATATGTGACTTTGTCACTTTCTTTGTATCTGTGAATGCATCAGGCAACTGATTTGCAACATTTTGTAAATGGATTATCTTTTGCACCTCTTGCTCACATATATTTGATCTAGAATCAAGGTGTGACAATCCTCGTGCTGATAACGTGTTGTGAAATGAAGAAGATGAAGAACAGATTTAAGAGATAGATATATTGATAACAAGCTCTAAATAACTTCTTCTTAATATCTGAGAATTTCTGAGTTTCTGAATTGCTTGAATTACATTTACAAAGGATTCATCACCCTATTTATACTAGTAGACTAAGAGATGAATCATCAAAGAATGATTCTACATAATCTGTTGGCAACACTAAACCTAGCCATCTGTCTATTACAAGGATTGAACTTGGATTAGTGTCCTGATGACAAGGATGGACATTCACACATGTCATTTTGATGATTTTACAACATACTTCTATTAAACAATTTTTTATGTGTGTATGTCTACAAGTAATCCTGAATTTAGTACTTTTGTTTCAAGATAGGAGATCAAATTGCCTTAAAATGCATATATTCTTGCTTTGTAAATTTCTTCTTTGACATAATTGAAAAGTGAAGTTGAATTACTTCTGGTTATCTTTTCAATTGAGAATGAATTTGATTTCACAATGACATGGTTTATACATCAATCTAAAGAATGAAAAGTTTCTAAATTGTATAAATAATGATTTCTTACACATAAACAACAATAACCAAACAGTAGCAGTCTGTTTAAAAGTATCCTGAAGAACTTTTCAAAGTTTAGTGTTGCGACTTGTGAGTGCATGTTGAGTTGTTCTGTGAAAGTTATTTCTCATATATAAAATTCTAAAGAACATATATAAAGGACAGTAATGGAGATTTCAAAAGTACTTCTTTGATATGAATTCAGAACACATATAAAGGAAAAGCTGCAATTTTTCTTCTCTTGCATTTACTATATTCTGAATGTTAAGTTTTGATTAAAGAACTCCAAAAAATTACTGAAACCCTTGGTTAGTTAATCTGTTAACATGTGGAAGCTTTTTAATATATCTGATTTCCCTGGATTCTTAAAGCTTTTAACTAAAGAGTTTGATGACACGGGATTGATAAGGTCATAAGACAAAACTGTTCGTGTTTGGAGGCTTGCAACAGCCCAATCAGTTGGAGAACTGATTCTAAAAAGGGCATTTAGTAAACTGAGGTGCGGGCAGTTGGTGATTAAGAAAATTCAGTTCCACCAACCAGTAAGTTACCTTGCTGATTTGATAATGTTAATGAAACTTAACATTCCCACTGAAATGGTTGAACGAAGAAAGACTCCTTCGGCAATGGCTACCAATATTAAGAACATTGAATTGAAAATAGAAGGATAAAGTGAACCTCTCTTTGCTACTACTCATGAAATTAAGCAAAATGTTGTTATTGTAGCTAATGCACCCTACAACAATTGGCAAGGACAATCAGAGAGTTTTTTAAAATCTTTTTAATCTTATAAATAATGTTACATAACTATTGTTAAAACATCGCACGCCCTTCTAACATATTTTTACAAACTCTTATTTAAGATCATGAGCTATTATCACATCTTGTTGTTCTTTTATGCTGAACCTTTATTCTTAAACATGAGTATTTCAGATTTAAATAATGAACCATCTAATCCTTGTAAGTTTGAATAATAAAGCATTGTGAGATCGATTTGTTCTAATTAGACGTGATCATGAATAAGTTAAACCATCACACACCAAGCAAATATAAATTATAAACTCATACTTCCTCCGTTCCCTTTTAATTGCAACAGTCAACATTTCACGTTTGGCAACGCACAAGTTTGACCATTAATATCTTTCATTCCTTATTAGTAAAAAATTTAAAAAATTCATATTTTGAAATTTTACAATGAGAAGAATTTAATAATATTTTTGAAAAAAATTAATTTATAATACATTAATGAATAAAATATAGTCAAAGTAGAATATGTGAATAGTGCAAAAAGTCCAATGTTGCGATTAAAAGAGAACGGAGGATAGTATATAACTCTTTTGAAGTTTGTTAAGCTAAGTTTAATCAGTGTGTCATCAAACAACACAAAAACTTAAGGATTTTTCCTAACAAATTCATGTAGAGA